GAAAAATCACTAAATTTTGCTCCTGAAACCAATATTACAATATATGTTAACTAACTAGAATTTAAATAAAAACTTAAAACAAAAATCCAAGTTAAAATTTTATTTTTACCCTAGAAAGCTGAAATAAATATCTCTTACCCGGGGTGGGGGGGTGGAAAAAGAGAAGTAGTAGGATATTCTTTTAAAAAAATAGAAAAATAGTGAGGCACCCGGGTGGCTCAGTTGGTTAAGCCTCTGCCTTCGGCTCAGATCATGATCCTGGGGTCCTGCCTGGGATCAAGTCCCACATTGGTCTTCCCGCTCAGCGGGGAGTCTGCTTCTCCTTCTCCTTCTCCTTTTGCCTCTCTGCCCCTCCACTCCACACCTATGCTTGTGCTCTGTCTCTCAAATACATCTTAAAAAATAAAAATAGAAATAAAAATAAAATGGACAAAGAGCTCTTAAAATGCAATAATAGGAAAACAATCCAATGAAAAAGGGCAAAATATTTGAACAGACACCTCACCAAGAGATCTATACATGGCAAAAAAGAATATGAAAAGATGTTCAACATCATATACTATTAGGGAAATGAATTTTTTTTTTTTTGGTGGGCAGTAAAGCAAAGTTTATTGAGCAAGAGTACTGAGCAATAGTACAAAGCACCTGAAGAGGGAGGGTACCCGAGAAGGTTGCCCAGGAAATTAAAATTATAATAGAAATGTGATCACAGTGCAGACCTATTAGAATGGCTAAAATCCAAAACACAGACAGCACCAAATGATGGCAAAGAGAGCAACAAGAAAAACAAGAGCTCTCATTCATTGATAATAGAAATAAAAAAAAAATGGTACAGCCACTGTGAAAGACAATTTGACAGTTTCTTACAAAACTAAATGTACTCTTACCATGTAATCTACCAGTTGTGCTTTTTGGTAATTGCCCAAATTATTTGAAAAGTTATGTATACAAAACCTGCTCTCAAATGTTTATAGCAGCATCATTAATAACTGACAAAGTTGGGGGGGGCACCTGGGTGGCTCAGTCACTTAAGCGTCTGCCTTCAGCTCAGGTCCTGATCCCAGGGTCCAGGAATCAAGCCCTGAGTCAGGCTCCCTGCTCAGCGGGGTGTCTGCTTCTCCCTCTCCCTCTGCCCCTCCCACATTTGTGCTCTCTCAGGTGTGCTCTCTCTCTCTGAAATAAAAAAAAAATCTTAAAAAAATAATTGACAAAGCAGGGAGGAAGCCAAGATATCCTTCAATAGGTGAAAAGATAAAAGAAAGCTGTGGTAAATCCACACAGTGGAATCTTATTCAGCACTAAAAATAAGTGAGCTATCCCATCATGAAAAGACACAGAAGAACCCTAAATGCATACTGCTAAATGAAAGAAGCCAATCTGAAAATGCCACATACTGTATAATTTCAACAATAAAACATTCTGGAATAGGCAAAAATACAGAGACCATAAAAAGATCAATAGTTGCTAGGGGTTTGCAGTGTGGAAAGATGATGGAGGGATGAACAGGTGGTGCCCACAGACTTTTCTGGCAGTGACACTATTCTGCATGATAGTGTAATGATGGATTCATGTCATTATACATTTGTCAAAACCCACAGAATGCACAATACATTGGCTCACCAATCATATCAATGTATCTCACTAATGCAAATGTTAATAGTAGAGAAAACTGTATGCTGGCAAATTAGGGATATATGGGAACTCTGTACACATATTCAATTTTTCTTTAATCCTGACACTGCTTTAAAAATCAAGACTCTTCATATAAAAAACTGACCCAGGGTCCCCCAGATTATTTTTAATTGAAGAAGTACAAAGGCTGCATCCTTGCTCTTTAGGAAAGTCAATGGGAACATCTACATAAAACACCACACTTCTAGGACATTCCAGAAGCTTTCATTGGAAAATCCTCCAAAAGAATAAAATTTGGACTATGTCCAGGGTTACAAATTCCCAGGTTTGGTAATTCTGTAGAGGGACTTAAAGGACTCAGCATATAGTCATACTCATGGCTAGTATTTACTTTAGTCAAAGAATATAAAGCAAAATCTGCAAAGGGAAAAATACATGGGATGAAGTCTAGAGGAAGCTAGGTGAAAGCTTACAAGAGTTCTCCCTTAGAAGAGTCACACAGGACACAACTAATTCCTCCAGCAAGAACTTTTAACAACACATGTGAAATTTTGTCTACCATGGAAGCTCTTGAGACTCAGTGCCCTAGGTTTTTATTGGGGGCTGTACAGAGGCACCCACTACTAAGCATATACCAAAATTCCAGACTCCCAGTAGAAAATAAGATGTTCAACATAAACCACATTGTTTGTACAGGCAGTCTAGGCACAGTGAGTCACTCTTACCATTTAGGGAAAATTTTATATCTGCGTAAGAAACTGTTCACTAGCCAAGTTCCCAGATACAAGCCAAGAGCTAATCTTGTAGTCAGATTTTTCTAATCATAGTAGACTTGGCCTATTATGTTAACTCTTTTCTGCTCAGGAACCTGACCCAGAATATATGCAAAAGGAAGGAAACAAAAGAATGCAGAAGGAAAATGACAGAAGACCCCAGACTATTCCAGTTCAAGGAAGAAAAGTAGTCCTTCACCTTTTCAATACTAAGTCTATTCACCACTGAGGTTCCTGACTCATCAATTTGAAACACCTCACATGATGTAATGGATATTCACCAAAGCACGTATCAGGAGATAAGCTTCAGCTTTGTCACAATCTGTGTAACCTTGGACAAGATGATTTCTAAGAACTTTCCTAGCTCATGTCAGACCTTATTCATTTGAGTGTCTCATTTTATACTTGAATCTAAAATATCTCCATCTTTTACTGGATCTATTATCCAACACAAGGATCTATCCATTAAAAAGTTATATTTTTTAAGGGTCTATTTATTTTAGAGAAAGAGAGAGAGAGAGAGAACCCATGTGACTGGGGGGGAAGGGCAGAGGGAGAGGAAGAGAGAGAATCTGAAGGATGCTCTTTGCCCAGTGCAGAGCTCAATCCCATGACCCTAAGATCACGATCTGAGCTGAAATCAAGAGTCTGATGCTTAACTCACTGAGCCACCCAGGTGCCCTGCCATTGAAAACAGTTTAAAATCAGTTAGTTCCTTCCCTTCCTTCTCCAGTGCCACTCTTGTGACTTAGACCCTCTCCCCTAGATCATTGCAATAGTTCCCTAAACTGGTTTTCTTGCTTCCAGTCTGTCAGGGGTCTAATTCATCTTACAACCTCAGACAGTTCAAGCTTCTTAAAACAGAATTCCACTCATATTGCTTTCACTACCAAAAGTGCTCAATGATCCTCCCAGGCCCGAGAGAATTCAATACAAACTCCTGAGACTGTTACTCCATAATATGACCTCAACTTCCCTGATCCTATCTTGTCTTTCACTACTCTCCAAAAGCAATGAAAATTCTGGTTAAATGTCCCCAAACGTACTCCATGTTTTCTATTCTTGGGACCATTTCCCTCCATGTGAGAGGTCCATTTCTCCATTTCTATCAAAGGCTTTACCTTTTGTTGAATGGGCACCACTATGGTGCCAGGGCAAATCTCCACATCCAGATGTAAGGTTTTTATTCTCCAGACACCTTCCCACCCCTACACGGACACCACATACACATTCATGTTACAGTATGTAAAAATTCTACTTGTTTAAGTGTCATGTGTATTCTTATTTTAGCATTCCAATTATAAGCTGCAGAAGGACAGGAAGTATGTCTCATTGACTTTGTAGTCCTGTTGCACCCAGCATAATGCCTGGCATGTGGTATGCACTCATGGAATAGTGGCTTATTTGAACTGAAGTCACTGAAAGTCCATTAAAAAAAAAGGTAATGTTGGAATATCTTGGGAAAAATGTAGAAGACCTGCTCCTGATCTACCAAATACAACACTAGTTTAACTTTATCCTCATGTGGATTATGGAATCAGAAACATAGAACTGAAAGGGACTCTGGAGATCACTGAGTACCACTCTTCCTTTGACAGAAAGGGAAAATGAGGCCAAGAAAACAATATGTTCTCCAAAGTCACACCATGAAAGATAAGAAATAACAAGTGTTGGAGAGGATGTGAAGAAAAAGGAACCCTCATCTACTGTTGGTGGGAATGTAAACTTGGGCAGCTACTATGGAAAACAGTATGGAGGTTCGTCAAAAAATTAAAATTAAAGAATTACGATATGACCCAGTAATTCTACTACTGGGTATTTATACAAAGAAAATGAAAACACTAATTCAAAAATATATATGCACTCCTATCTTTATTGCAGCATTTACAACAGCTAAGATATGGAAGCAACTTAAATATTCATTGATAGATGAATGGATAAGGAAGATGTAGATATTGGGATATTAGACAGGCATGAAAAATGATGAGCTCTTACCGTTTGCGACAATATGGATGGCCCTAGAGGGTATTATGCTAAGTGAAGTAAGTCAAACTGAAAAAGATTAATACCATATAATTTTACTAATATGTGGAATCTAAGAAGCAAAACAAATGAATGAACAAACAAAAAGTAGAATGAGACTATAAATACAGAGAAAAAACTGATGGGGGTGGACAAAATATGTGAAAGGGAGTGAGAGATACAGACTTCTAGTTATGGGATGAATAAGTCACAGGAATAAAAGGCACAGTGTCAGGAGTATAGTCAATAATATTGTAATAGTCTTGTATGGTGAAATTTTATTTTCTCAAACTTGCATTTTATTGCTTACATAAACACGATTTATGTATTAAATTATTTATTCTAATGTCCAAAACACAAACAACAACAAAAATGTCACACGGTGAGTTAGAGGAGGAGCTGCCTTGAGAACTCAAGGCTCCTGAGTTCCAGGCAAAGATTTTAACTGTAAGTACTACTATTATAGTGGATCCCTCCTGAGGCAGGGCAGGAAGAGAGCCTTGGAATAGGAAGATGCCAATGTTACCAAGACACAGCCGGCAAAGGAAGATGGGAACAGCTTTTTGAACATACCTCCTGTAACTGAGATTCTTTCTTTTTGGAAGATAGATGTAAGTGCCGATCCAGCAAGGAATAAAACCTCTCACCATCCTTTTCAAATTTTTTTTTCCGCTCCTACATGTGGGAGAGAAAGCACACATTAAGATATCTATATAAGTTTTTAATTCACTATGCTCAGAATTAAGAATGAAAGATGCAGTGTCAGGATTCATCTCTCTAGCCTCTGGGAAGAACACAGAAAGAATTTGCTTTAGCACTGGTCTCAGCAGTTTCAATTTCCTCAAATATAACCCTGAATCATTCCACCTACACAAACGGCAATTGTTATTAGTATACCTGAAGGCTCTGGGAGCTGCTGCTCCAAAAATGACACTTAAAATGGGCCTGTACACTTGTTACTTTTTCTTCTTCCCAGTATTTTTCTTATTTTTTTCACATGCATTAACTACTCCCTCATTTTTTTCAAAGGAGAAAGAAGGAACACAGTGGTGAATTCAATATATGCCTTTAGAAGTCATATACAGATTGAGGGAAAAGATGGTGGAGGAGTAGGGGACCCTATTCGAACCAGTCCCCAGAATTGAGCTGGATATCTACCAGACCACTCTGTGAACACCCATGAAATCAGCCTGAGATGTAAGAAGATACATCTGGATCTCTACAAACAAAATATCGCAGGTGTCTGGTTTGGAGGTAGGAAGCGGGGAACTGTGATTCTGCAGGCAAATATCGGAGGATAAATGGAAGGCGGAGGGAGCCGAGCCATGTGAGCGACAGCCTCCCATGCTGAGGACAGAGCACCAGGCCTCCTTTCTTTCTTGTCTATTAATTGGTCTTCTAGATCACTAATTCATTCTTCTGCCTCACTTACCCTAGCTGTTAGATTATCTAGATTAGATTGGATCTCACTGCTTGCATTTTTAAGTTCTGCCAATTCAGCTTTCATTTCTCCCCTTAGAGACTCTATGTTGCCATTAATGGATTTCTCCATTCTAGCTATGGTCTTCACGATTGCTAGTCTGAATTCCATCTCCGACATCTTGATTATATCTGAATCCATTTGTAAATCTGTGGCATAAATCATATTCTCTGAGTCTTTCCTATTTTGGGGGTTCCTCCTCCTAGTCATTCTGTTGAGGGGTGGTTGAGGGAATGTATAGAGTCCAAATTATTGACTAGAACCCAAGCAAGATGCACCTGTTTTCTAGGGACCTTAGGGTTGCTGGCTTCTTGTTTTCCCTGCCTGTCTTCTGGGAGAGGGGCCTGCCACACTGTTACTCAGGCAACCCTGTTTGGGCAGAGTTGCCCTGCCCCCCTGTGGCAGGGCATGAACTCAGTGGGAACCGGTTTTTTGCGGCTTTTTTTCTCTGGCGACTTTCCCTGGTGACTTTCTGCATATCTTCCGAGAGTCAGAGCAGAAGAGACCGTATCCAACCCTCTGCCTCAGAGCAGAGAGATTGCAGTCTGTTCTTCAGTGAGCTCTCCAGGCTACAGTTTCTCCGTTTCTGTCTGTGCTGCTATAAACTGCAGCGTCCTGGGTTATGCACCCTTCCACAGTGCTCCCAGTCCTGCCTCCAGGTTGGGGCACGTCTCTGCCCTTTGTGCTTCTAAAACCACCAGCCACTCCTAGTTTGCACGCGTGACCCCACCGCTGTGGTTTCTGTCCAGGAAGCTGCCCTAAAGTCCTTTCCCCACCCATACCAGTTTGCGAGTCTGTGCCGCATCCCTAGCGTGGGAGGTTATCGCTCACCAGCGGTGTAGGATCCCCACAGCCAGGCTGCTTCCTGGTGCTGTTTATACTCTGATATCTGTCCATGGAATCATGGCTCCCCAGTTCGAACCTCGAAACCAACCACCTGCAATCTTCTGTTTGTAGAGATCCAGATCTATCTTCTTACATCTCAGGCTGATTTCATGGGTGTTCCCAGAGTGGTCTGGTAGATACCCAGCTCAATTCCAGGGACCAGTGGAATAGGGTCCCCTACTCCTCCACCATCTTTTCCAAATCCCCTGAATACCCAACTTTTATATCAACATGGATGAGACTGGAGGAGATTATGCTAACTGCAATAAGTCAAGCAGAGAAAGGTTTCACTTATTTGTGAAACATAAGGAATAGCATGGATGACATTAGGAGAAGGAAGGGAAAAATGAAGGGGGGGGAAATTGGAGGGGGAGACGGACCATGAGAAACTCTGGACTCTGAGAAACAAACTGAGGGTTTTAGAGGGGAAGAGTGTGGGGTGAAGAGTTAACCTGGTGATGGGTATTAAGGAGGGCATGCACTGCATGGAGCACTGGGTGTTATACGAAAACAATGACGTGTGGATCTCTACATCAAAAACTAATGATGTGTGGTGACTAATATAACAATAAAATAAAATTTAAAAATAAAAGTCATATACAATGCATTTAGACAGACTAATACTAAGTAAAACTTTTCCAAGGCAATAGGAACCTTGGACTGTCTCTATATATGATGAGTTCTTTGATACTGTTTAAGCATTTTACTACTGCCCTATTAAAAGATGATGTTACAAAGGAGGAAACAATCCTGGAAAGTGTAGCCAGAAAGCAAGAGACAAAAAGCTTTATGGGGGATGGAGGACTCAGCCGTCACTCTCCTTAAGTATGAAATTTAATTAAGTTCTCTGCCTCAGCACAACTGGAAGTCACACAGCTCCAAAGGAGCATTAACAATGCTCATATGTCACACACGAATGCTGACACACTGCAATCCTCTCAACACCATGCTGAGAAATTCATGTAAAGGGCCTGTGTTGTGTCATAGTAAATCCAAATTCACTGAGCACCTACAGAGTGCCAGTTACTAGAAGAGGCACAGCAAGAGACACACAGGCAAAAAGAAAAAAAAAAAACTCACACATGATTTATTTCTAGAGGCAATCTGTTCCTGGGCAGGAAGCCAGGACCAAGCTCACTGACCTCTGACCTGGAAGGAAAGTGTTTTTTCCCAAGATAAAGAAGCAGAGAGGAAACTAACATTAACTGAGGCCCACAGCAGGTCAGGCAGTGAAGTAGGTACTTATAATCCATTATTTCATTTAGTCTTCACAACCCTGAGAAGTAGCTATTGTAAAGGAACCTAAGGTTCAAAAAAATGAACTAACTTGTCCAAGGTCATATAATATATAGATCTATTGGATTTCTTCCACATAGTCATATAGAGCCCAGATGATCATGAGAGGAATTACACTCAGGAGGCCTGTAAATAACCAGGAAACCTTGTGAATAAAACTCAAGTAGGTCTATAGCCCTAGCCCACACTCATACCAAATCACATGAGATAGAAATTTTCCCACAAAACATAGGTAAGACACACCATTCCTCCAGCAGGTGAATCTATTTAAAGTAGCAATTCTTTGAAGAAAGCATTAGACCAGAAAATGTCAGTGAATTCTCTAAGAACAGATAAAGTTCTGTTGGTCACTTCCTCCTCCAATTCAATTTTTAAAATAAAAACTATAAAATGTAATTCACATATAAAATTCATCCTTTAAAGTGAACAATTCAAGGTTTTTAGTGTATTTACAAAGTTGTGCAACCATCACTGCTGTCTAATTCCAGAATATTTCCATCACCTAAGAAAAACCCTATACCTATTAGTAGTCATTCCCCCCTTCTCCTAATACTCCCCTCAAAAGCCAAAATTTAACTTTTGTCTCTGTGTATTTGTATACTCTAGAGGTTTCATATAATTCTAGTCATACAATATGTGACCATTTGTGCCTGTCTTGTTACACTTAACATGTTTTCAAGATTCATTCATGTTGTAGCATGTATCAGTACTTCATTCCTTTTTATGGCTGAATAATATTTGATTGTATGGATATACCACATTTTCTTTATAAATTCACATTGATGGACATTTGGGTTATTTCCATTTCCTCAGCAATTATGAATAATGCTGCTGTGAACATTCATGTACAAGATTTTCTGTGGTCATATTTTCAATTCATTTGGGCATATATATATATATATATATATATATATATATATATGCAGTGGAACTGCTGAGTGATATGACAACTCTATGTTTAACTATCTAAGGAACTACCAAACTGTTTTCCAAAGCAGGAGTACCATTTTACATTGTCAACAGCAATGAATGAGAGTTCCAATTTCTGAACATCCTTACCAACCCTTATGTGACTTTTTGGTTACAAATAACCTATTGGGTGTTAACTTGCATTCACTGTAGTTTGACTTGCATTTCCTAAATGACTAATGATGTCTTTTCATGTGTTTATTGACCCTTTGTGTATACATGTATATACACTCACATATATATATTCTTCAACAAAATGTTTATTGAATTATTTTGCCCATTTGTAAATTTTTTTTTTATCTTTATATTTTCAAGTTACAAGAATTTGTTATATAACTCTGAATACTAGCTGTGGTGTATTTTCTCCCATTCTTTGGGTTGTTCTGGCACTTTATTGGTAGTGTCCTTTGAAACATGAACATTTTTAATTTTGTGAAGTTCAATCAGCCTATTTTCTTCAATTTCTTGTGTTTTTGGTGTCATATCTCAGAAAATGTTGCCCGATCAAAGTTCATGAAGATTTATAGCTGTGTTTTTTTCCAATAACTTTATATTTTTTGGTTTTAATTTTTGAATGCAGTGTGATATAGGGCTCCAACTTCATTCTTTTGCATATGGATAACCAGTAGTCTCAGAACCATTTGTTCTAAAGACTATTCTTTCCGTATTAAATTGTTTTGGCATTCTCAGAAAATATCAATCAGCCATAAATGTATAGGTTTATTTCTGGACTCTCAGTTCTATTCTATTCATTTATATGTCTATCTTCATGTCACAACCACACTGTCTTGATTACTTTGTAGTAAGTTCTGAAATTAAAGACTGTAACTCTTTTTTTTTTTTTCAATATTTCCTTTTCTATTCTGGTCTTCTGTGTGGATTTTGGGTCACTTTATCAATCTGAAAAATGGCCAGCTGAAATTTTGGTACAGATGACACTGAATCTGTAGATCAATTCTGTGACTATACTATCTTAACAATATGAAGGCTGATTCATGAACACAAGATGTGTTTCTATTTATCCTTCTATTTATTTAGGTCTTGG